TACCACTGCGTTACAGCGTATAAGAATAGAGAAGTTACAAGATGAAGATGTGAAAGAGAAGTATAAATGCAGACTGAGAGAAAATATAAGATGTTTGAATGAGTTGTGTATGAATGATTTAGACTTGAATACTGTATGGGATAATATTAAGAAAGATTTGGTGGATGCAGCCACCGAAGTATGTGGTGTAAGTAAGAGAACAAATGAAAGGAAAAGGAATACGTTGTGGTGGGATGATGAGGTACGGGTGGAAGTTGAATCAAAGAAGGAAACATGGTTAGATTTACTAGCAACTAAAGCTGGTAATTCTGGTGGTATGAATGATGAGATTGAAAGAAAAAAGGCAAAATTTAGACGTCTAAATAAGAGAGTAAAAGAAGTAGTTGAAAAGAAAAAGAAAGAAAGAACGGATAAGAATGATAGAAGGATATCTGATAATTTCCAGGCTAATATAAAAATGTTCTGGAAACTCGTAAGAACTGCCAGGGGAAATACAAAACAGCCTATAATTAATGCTGTAAGAGACGAGAATGGATGTATTCTAAATGATGAAGTTTCGAATTTAAACAGATGAAAGGAATACTTTGAAAGCGTGTTTATGAGTGAAGAGTCATCTGAATTAAAAGAACAAGAAATTTCGAAAGAAGTGGAAAGGGGTATGGAGATATGTGTAGATGAAATAATGAAAGCAATGAAAAGCATGAAAGCAGGTAAGGCTGCCGGATATGATAGAGTATCACTCGAGATGCTAAGGGCTGGAGAGGGAGTGGTGGCAGGCCTGCTGTACACCTTGTTTAATTTGTGTTGGGAATTAAAACGGGTACCGGATAACTGGTGTAAAGCAGTTATAGTATCAATATATAAAGGAAAAGGGTCACAACAGGACTGCAAAAACTACCGTGTTATCAGCTTGCTTAGTATTGTGGGTAAACTGTATGCTAAGGTGTTAATTGAAAGAGTTATGAAAGAAACTGATGGAAAAATTTGGGATGTGCAAGCGGGTTTTCGAAAGGAAATGGGGTGTACAGATCAAGTCTTTTCCATGCGCATGATTGCGGAGAAGTTTTTGGCTAAAAACCAGAAAGTTTTTTGTGCGTTCATGGACTTGGAAAGGGCTTATGACAGAGTGGACAGGAATGTGTTATGGCAAACACTGAACTCATATGGGTTGAGCGCTGGTTTGATACAGGCATTGAGGTCTCTTTATAGGGATTCTAGTGCTTGTGTCAGGATCAATGGGGTCTACTCGGACTGGTTTGGCATCCGAAAAGATGTCAGACAGGGCTGTGTGGCTTCCCCTTGGCTGGCAACCTATTTATGGACAGGTGTTTGCAAACTTTGAAAGATGAAGAGTGTGGGTTAATGGGCGAGTTAACCGTCAAATGCCTTTTGTATGCCGATGATCAAGTCATATTTGCGTCATCGGCGGCTGAGTTGCAAATGATGGTTACATTAAGGAACTGGGCATTAAAAGAAAGGGGAATGAAAGTGAACGAAAGTAAGACGAAAGTGATGGTTTTTGAAAGAGACGAAAGCAAAACGGCATGTGAAATAAGAATAGAAGAAGAGTTAATTGAGCAAGTGGATGAGTTTGTGTATTTGGGATGTGTATTTAGCAGGGATGGTAGATATGATAAGGACGAGTAAATGCAGAGAATAGAGTGAATGGGGCACTACACTATATTGTGAAGAACCAGAATGTATCAAAAAAGGCACGTATGGTAATTCATAATGCTGTGTTAGTCCCTACTTTAATGTATGGTAGTGAAAGCTGGGTGTGGCAGAAGAAGCACGAAAGTAGAATAAATGCTGTAGAAATGCGGTCTTTAAGGAGTATGCTAGGGTTGAATCTGAATGACAGGGTGAGAAATTGCATGATAAGAGATAAATATGATATGCAAGATGACGTTGTGACCAGGATTAAGAAAGGAATGCTTCGGTGGTTTGGTCACGTAGAAAGAATGAATGAGAAAAGAGTGACAAAGCAAATTTATATGGCAGATGTGAACGGCAGAGTCGGGAAGGGACGCCCTAGAAAAAAGTTTATCGACCAAATTGGATTTTGAAAATGGGCCACGTTAAAAATACCCTTAACCGACGAGCATGTATGCGTAGATATATGGATGTAAAGGAGGCGAAAGAGGTATGTCAGGATCGTGTCAAATGGAAGTCCGTAGTCTCTGCCTACCCCTCTGGGTGACAGGCGTGAGTGTTTATGTATGTGTTTATTTGTATGGATGTCCAACAGTTGTACATATTAAATTACTTCTAACACTTGCTTTACATCTATAAATTACTACGTACTACCAATTATAGGAGAACACATCATTCCAAAACAATAGCAGTGTTTATAATTTGTACAATATTCGATTCTTAAAGAAATCGATATCAATTATTTAGAGTTGGTAATCATTTACCGTTTGGTTTTAGTAATACCAGAATAAATTAAAAACGTATAATTTAAAATACAAGATTATCAGTTTCTTATTTCCAGAGGCACAGTTATAAAAATTTAAGGTTAAAACTAGATTAAAAATAAATTTATTCAATAACTTTCAGTACTGCTACTGCTACTTGAGCTTTCGTTGTTTAGATTAATTATTATTTGATTTTCAATAATGCAGTCAATATTAACGTCTCTTTCAAAATCAATTTTTTTGTTTTTTATACCAATTTTGCCCAATCATCCGTAGTGACATGGAGACATGCTTCAACGAATATAGAAGAAACAGTCCAAAAAGTTAAAGCCGAGTCACAAAACAAGAAGACAAACACAAAATCACAAAATTACGTACATTAAGCTCCCGAAATGGCGGGTGATTGAAATTACGTAGTGGTTTTTTTCAGCGCGACCTTGTATGAGTTTTTTTGCCTACACAAATTAACGGAATTTTAAAAATAAAAATTTTATTAAACAAATAATAAATTTAAAAAATTAATGATTCGATTATTTTAATATTTCTATCGATTACTTGAATATTTTTGCCGATTATTCGCATAACAATGAATTATAATCATCCAAACACTATTGTAAGGTTCATAGCGACATACTCGTATCATTGAAACGACGTCAAGTAAAATAATTTATACTGGTTATTTTTTTTAATATTTTGCTTTGTTTGAAAGATTCGAATTTAAATTAGTGATAAAAAACTATACACGTTGTAATGAAATATAGATAACTTCATAATTCTTCGGATTTACGTAAAAGGCTATTTTAAATTGTGTGAGTACGTTTGTGCAAAGTTATTGCGGAATGATTAATGTGAAACGTCAAAAGGTATTTCTTAGATTTGGTTGACTATAGTGAAGTTTCATATGCAAATAATAATATATCGTGGGTATCTCCTACAAGCAAATTTGATGCCTACGAGAATCGATGAACTTTTTAAAGGCATTTCGTTGGCATTCTGGAGAATATGGTGGATAAGAGTCTCTGGGTAAGGCCGTCGATTTCGCCACTTATTGAAGAAAGAATATTTTCATATTTAGATGGCTTATAAAAAACAACATAGTGGATAAATTGTAATGCAAGTATTTTAATTAGGTTATATATCTCTTAAACTCTTATACCATAATTTTTAAAATGATGTAAGTTGTACATAAAAAAATACAGCGAGTTAAATTCGTCCAGTACCCCAAATTAAACGAAAAACATGATGTCTTTTTGGCACTTACACTATAAAACATATATTTTTTAATGAACATCTAACTAATTTGTGACTGTCTAAAATGTCTCAATGTTAAGCTACTACATCGTGCTTTTCGTGTCTTTAAAAACGCATTTTGTATGGATTTATTACTATTTAAACTTATGTTCCATATTTTCGCTTCTATGTTACTACTTTGTATGTTACCCTCCAAACTTTCCTTTAAAAAGCATAGCAGCACAAGTTTGGTATTGTTTTGTAATTGCATAGGCAACACCAAGTATTCAGACATCACAATAAAAAAAGAGAAGACGCGATAATGTCGTCTCTGGAGGCTATCAAAGGTAAATATCGGTTTTTATTGTACACATCTTATATAGTATTATGCACGAATAACTAATACATGGCATGGTAGTGTATCTATGTTTAAAATTCACCTCGATGTCAAGTTAGGTCTATTAAAACCTTGAAAAATCGCGCTTCAACGTTACTTCTGTGTAACTTTGATGTTACTGGTAACATTGATAGTAAGTTTCGCAACGTTTTACTGTTGTAAATGTTTGTGCATATTGTAACTTATTAAATATACTTTTTCGTTGGCATAACAACCTTATAAAAAATATCAACTTTTTCTGAAAGTTTTGATCGTGTAGAGTAACGAAAAACCCGCTTAGTATTTTTTATTTGATGTGCAGAGGGTTACTTCTATGTTACCGTAACATAGAAGTGTCTATGTTACTGTATCTGTATCGGTTTAATATGAAATATTTAGTAATTTTATTTGTAAAATTAAAAAAATGAATAAATATGTTGCATTAAACCCTAAGAAAGAAGACTTTAGCTTACCAAATTGAGACTTAGCAAAGTGAATAAACAAAATAAAACGCTGGAATTGCGATCGTGGTATTAAGCTTCCAAGACATCTCCATTTTTCTGCCTTTAAGGTACAATTATTGCTCTAATCAATCATTAGTTCAGGGAATCAACTAATTGCGTATCCCAACGCAAATTTTGATTTATAATTTATTTTCTAGAAAAGATGTAATGTAAAAAAATTACTATTGATTTTATCATCGTCGCGAGACTAAGAATACAATCATTATATTAATACGTGAAGAGCTCGAAAGTTTAGTACCTTTGCTAAAAAGTATTCATTATAAATGGAGAGAAATAAAACAGAAAGAAGAGAAATAGCTAGTCTTTAGCTTAAGCCAACATCTGTTGTGCAGTATGTGGTTTATTTAATATTTTTATTGTGTCCTATGTGCTTAAATCAGAAATAATCACATTTTAACTTTATTTTCAAAATATTGATGTATCACCGTTTACGATGCTAATAACGCAATGTACCTGTGGTGGGTAGGCGTTGAGCGCGGGTGAGAACGTCTGCAGCGGAACGAGCGAGGAGAGCGGCGCGCGCAGGATCAATCCGCTGTCCACGAGCTGCGTGCGCACCGTGCCCTCGCCGTCCAGCCCGCTGATGATGGAGCAACGAACCCTGCACAGATATTCTAAAGCTCACTATTTCCTTCTTACTCTAGTTACCAATAAAATAGCTGCTTACAACTGTTTAATACCTTTATAATTTGAAATACATTCGAACATTATGCTACATCATCAATACGTGGTAACGCCACGCTGCAGCTATATTATAGTTGTAGCACGAATAGATCGGCTCGACCGGGGAAGGACCACGCCCTCATAGAATACCAGCGTAAAATAGCAACTTAATACTGCTGTATTTCGTATGGTGAGTATAGAGATCTGGAGACCCTTTTTTACTGGAAACGAGCCATTCCATCTTTGTCCTCGGAGGTGACAACGCATTTGCGTTTTAATTCTTAATCGAGGATAAATGTAGATGTTTATGGGCCACAGCATCCACTTACCTTATTCTATATAAAGAAAACTTATTTTATAATATTATGACAACCAGTTAGATGATGCATCAAGTTGCAAGTTCCCAAAGATAAGGGTCATTGATCTCTGTCAAGTTTATAAAATGTGCAGGTATAAAAATAGACAACACTGAAACTATTGATGCAAGCAAGACGCAACCTTATGTCTAAATTAATAAATTATTTTCTCATTTGGACATATGGTTAATGTTATTTAATCGCGAGTGTTCTAGTACCTTCCTCTTGTTGTATGATGTATATGAAAGCGTGCGCTGGCGATCAAAGAATTAATTATTTCGGGAAGCGATAGTGAACTCTGCTTAGGGAAGCGAATACGAGCTATCGACCTACAACATCTGCGATTATTAAGGATCTCACTGAAGAAGTTTAGCGATTTTGGACGTGATTGTACACTTGCTGTATGTGAAATAATTCTTATTTCTCATCCTAATCGGCATTTTCACTCACCCAACAATAATAATCAACATAAAATAAATATTAATTTATCTATCTAAAATAATCATAACTATACATACACAATACATTATACGTAATACAGAAGTTCAAGGTCGCTTAGAATGCTATAGAAAGGTCTATGTTCAGAGTTTCTCTGGGTGATAAACTTAGAGCTTAGATTGTCCACAGTACAACTAGAGTTACCGACATAGCCCAACGGATAAGTAAGCTAAAGTGAAAATTAACTGGCCATATAGCTCAAACAACCGACAACCGATGGGAAAGAAAAGTGCTTAAGTGACAGCCTCGTATCGGTAAGCAAAGTGTGGAGCGGTCCTTCACTAGATGGTGACGATCTGGTGCGAGAAGCAGAAAGTCAACGGATCCAACTTAGCATAGTTGCCGGCACGAAAGGTTAGCATAAATGAACTATGGTGGGGGTTGAGCGAGCATAGGTACACTGTCGGCCAAAATTATTAGGTCTGTTGTTATTTCAATTCGTAATTGAATATTTTCGCTGACTTTTTTTCGAAATTCTGAGTCGTTAACTCCTTTAACTATACGACGTATAGTATCTACGTAGACATTAGTCGCCTTAGCAGTCCGTTTATAAACGTCTATCATAATTTTCGCAATACCTAATTATTTCATGTAACACAACACTGAATACACCATTTGTCGGGATTGTCTAACACTGAATTCTTACTTCTCTGCATATTTAGCCCAAAATCCCAATGCTAAAATTAGAACAAAAAAAAAATAACAACAACGAATATCAAAAACAGTTAAAAACAAGAAATACACAAAGAACAGTTAACAACGAGGTTAGGAAAGTTGTCACTAAAATTGCTCTCAAGTGTACGGTAGTCGAATGATAGGTGCGAACCTAATAGACGACGAGAACCGGCTGACGAACCAATTATGTTGAGCGTCAGCGTGGTCACCGTCATATCGACCAATAAAAAGTGTGCTCACGCCTCGTGGCGGCAATTATAACTTTGGTATGTGGCATATCACGCATTTTGTTTTGTTGCATCATGAAACTTTGTTGAAAAGTATCAGTCCACTCAATAAGCAGCAGATAAATCCGCATCCAATGGAAGCGCAACGAATGAATAAGGGCATATCGATGATCGTCGCTCTCTGTCGCACTCATTACTTCCTGTAGCACATTTGTCTCCTATCCACGCAAGATTTATTTAAATATTTTTAAATTATTAAGCTCCGGAGATACTGTCTGCCCTTTTGTGAGACGGTTTATTATATATAATAAACACGCTGTAAAAATAGCAGATTAAATCAAACACTTATTTTGGAATTTTTGAAAATACGACTTTTTAATACGACAATGGGACTGACATATTAAAAATAACGTATGTCCCTAAATTAATTAAGAAAAAGAATTAAAAAAATATTTTTATAACACACACAAGGCCAGTTGTGCTAGAATATGCATGTGACAGCGGGTCGTGGCACTCACCAGTCGCCAGCGAGCGTGCGCACGATGAAGAGCGCCTTGTGCGGCGGCGGCGCGTGCGGCGCGGCGGGCAGCGGGCGGCGGTAGGGCCCGCTCGTGAGCAGCGCGAGCGCGTCGCGCACCAGCGCCGCGCCGCCCGCGCGCGACACCCACACGCGCCCCTCCTCCGTCACGCACCCCACCTCCACCTCGCACGGCTTCTGCGTCACGGTGAAGGCGCCAGCGATGCAGAAGTCGTGCACGATTTCCTTGTTGAGGTTGAGGTCGTGCTGCGTGGAGGTGTCGTAGAGCACGATGGCGACGGCCGGGTCTTCGGGGTCGTGGCGCGGGCCGGGCTCGGCCACCAGCACCTCGCCGGGCAGCCGCCGCGCCACAAGCGCCGCGCCCGCGCCGCTCGCCGCCAGCTCTTCGGCGCCCTCCAGCCGGCACAGGATCGCCTACCACACAAACTATTTTTTATTTATAACCTTTTAACCCACTACCAGACAAAAGCCTTTTCAAATACTGTGGTTTATAAAATTTAAGTGACAAACCAACTTACAGTATATTATCCAGATTTACCACTTACTCGGCGGTAAAGTAAATGGTCGCGAGGAAACCTACATGTCTAAAAATATAAATGTTTCGAAGAAATGCTAAGTTCACCAGCACACACTGGAGCGACGCAGAGGACTAAATGCTCCATAACCTTCACAGTTATGAGAGGAATCTTGTGTCCAGCATCGAGTCGTACTTTACTTATTCATTAGAAACTGTTTGAATTTTTCTACATATAACGGCAATTTAGGGCGTATGTTTGTCAGATGGCAGAATCGCTGGAGGACCTTAGCACTATGCTCAATGACCTCAAAGGTGTTTCCCAACGGATAGGTCTTAAGATGAACATGGACAAAATAAAGATCATGTTTAATGTCTATGTCACACCTATGCCGGTAGATGTTGGGAGCACTATGCTCGAAGTTGTTGACGAGTAAGTTTACCTGGGACAAATAGTCCGACTAGGTAAGTCCAACTTCGACCGACAGGTCAATCGACGGATTCAACTCGGCTGGGCAGCGTTCGGGAAATTACGACACATCTTCATGTCAGGTATACCTCAATCTCTGAAAACTAAAGTGTACAACCAGTGCGTGTTGCCAGTGATGACTTACGGATCTGAGACGTGGTCCTTCACTGCTGGCCGTATGAGGACGCTCAAGGTCACTCAGCGAGCTATGGAGAGGGCTATGCTCGGAGTTTCTCTGCGTGATAGACTCAGAAATGAGGATATCCGCAGTAAAACCAGAGTGACCGACATAGCCCAACGGATTAGTAAGCTGAAGTGGCAATGGGCCGGCCATATAGCTCGAAGAAGCGATAACCGATGGGGAAGAAAGGTTCTCGAGTGGCAGCCTCGTACCGGTAGGCGTAGTGTAGGGCGACCCGCCACTAGATGGAGTGACGACCTGGTAAGACATGCAGGAAGTCAATAGATGCAGGTGGCTCAGGACTGTGCTTTGTGGCATTGCTTGGGGGAGGCCTACGTTCAGCAGTGGACTTGTGAAGGGCTGTAATGATGATGATGATGATAGGGCGTATATTATATTTAAATAATTCATATTTTTAGTTCTGGTCTGGTATAAGTCAATTTAAATTATAAAACGTAAGCAATTAAAATTCAAAGATAACTGTATGCACCTGAGCTGGCAATTTTCTAAACTGTGGCTCAAGGATTTTAATCTTATTCAAAAGCACAGTGTCGACATCTCCGTGATCGCCTAAGAATACTGTTGCTGTATCATCTTCTATTTCTAATATCTTCGCTCGTTGCCAGCCTCCATCATCTAAATATACTGCATACCTGTAATGATCACAGAATAAAGCTTTTCCATCACTTTATTAATTAATATATCAGATAATTTCTCATATTCTAGCTGTTTCATATAAAGCAAGGGCGAGTAACTCTGGAGATGATCGCTCGCCTTAAATTTCATAGTCAGCGAACAACTAGAATTCTACTTTGCCGGCAACATTAAAAATGTTAATGGCAATTTAAAGTGCATATTGGTAAAGTTTTCTGTTGAAAAGAAAACATCTTCAGGAAACCTGCACATTTCAGAAGTCAAAAATTCTTCAACATAACATGTTTTATGCCCTTACACGCACCAGGAGAGCATGGTGGATCTATTATTGGTCCAATATCCTCTTTAGGTTAGCTCTTAAGGTTGGAAGTGTGCTATATTTTAACAATATTCTGCTCCAGCTCACAAGTGTGTGTTTAGTGTTGAAACGTGGCGTAAAGATAATTTCCTTGATGTCATAAGTTCAAGGTAATAGCTCCCTACTTACCTGATCTGAATTTGATGGATTACATTTTATAGCAAGGACCTATTCCACGCTTTACAGAATGTTCGTGAGCAAAAAGTGTTATTCTTACACACACTCTTATACAAAATATGTATAGAGGAAATACGAAAAGTTGTAGAAAATGTTACCAAGTGTTTGTTTCTAGGCTATAATAGTTATTTTGAAAATCAATACACTATTTATTTCAATATAAAATGCATTTTAAAAGTTTTCACGTTAATTGGATTGGTGTAAAGCTAAATAAATTATTTGTTAACTTTATTTTAAGTCAAATGTACCACGCGGTCACATTAACTTGACGCATCGCTGGAATGCGAGGCCCCGCCCGCTTCCCCCCGCACTCCCTTAGCTCGCTATCGTCAGTATGGTTAGCATATCTGTTACCGATACAAAATGACGTCATCAAAGCCATGCGTCAAGTTAATGTGACCGCGTTGCATAAGCTCATTGGTTTAATAGTAGTCATAACATCAGTACGGCCATCGAAACAAAAGATTTTTATAGAAGACAATTCCAGTAGTAGCTTTAAATAACGTGTTCGATTTTGACAATATTTTATCGAGGATATTCGCCTGAATCGCTACGCATGGGCAGGGTATATGGGGATCGCAGTCCAAGATGTCTTGCACCTCTGACGCTGTTTCCCGTCCCCGGTCTGGGTATCTTACGTCTGGCGTTAAAGAAATGGTTACGCCGTCATCTGACAGAACTCGTAGGATCTTTCAGACGTTTTGTAAAGTCGCTTCTTATGATAATCACGGGACGAAATATTTGTGGATTCTCTGACGCCGCCACTATGCGAATTTTCTTTTAAAAATTGAACACCTAAACTTACAGTCGTGTATAATTATCAACGCTAACAGTTCGTGACTTATTATTTGGTTGGGTTGGTTGCGTTGGCTGGTAGACAATACCTTAACATATTAAGTCCACAGTTTATATTCTTTTTGTTAAAGGCAATGCAATAAAAAAAATATATTCCATTGAATTAAAATAATAAACTTACCACGCATTTTTAATAATCATATTTTTGTCCACTAACGTTCCCAAACGTTCGTAATACAGAGCCATATCTGCTAATAGTGTTTCAAACATGTCCTGTAAGCAGGTATATTTATTTTAAGTTTATTTTGAAAATATTGCTATTTTGTTAATCGGTGGATCTAATACTTACACTATATTCTGGTCCAATAATTCGCAACCAAATCTCTAGAGTCGAATTAGCGACTGTAATGAACACATTCCAAGAATTTTCCTCAGGGAACTGAAGGAGTGGTAGCTCACTGTCTATTGTGTCATCAAACACATTCGTTTCAATTAATGGTGATAACGCCTCCTAAAATTACAGTGCAAGTGTTTAATACTTCTTACAAGATTAATTAAAAAAAAGTAAGATTAGGAAGATATCGGCGCAAGGAAAATTCCGCAATTTTGCTTGGCTCAGCTCATGTTAGAGGGTTTCATAAGTCCTGTATTTATTGAGAAAAACAATTATTTTGCGATGTTTTTCCTATCACTGCTGAGCGCGCAATAATTCATACATTAATATTAAAATACAAAATTTCTTTTGTTGCGAATTCTAAAATCCATTATTTTTAAACAAAGTGACAGTAAGTGACTAACGCTTTCATCGATACTTGCAACCAACTTAAAAATAAAAGATGCAGATGCGTTGACACGTCTGAGGATTAAGATGAAATGACTTACAGCCTTTTCTATACTCTTCAAGCCGGAACAGTGCAGTGCACTGCTATTTGGTGGCAGACTTAGGTAACAGGGTAATATTTACCCAGACTAACTATTTAGACGCTTGTCCTTTTAGTCATGTCTTCATTTCATTCGGGATATTTGTGTTTATCGATTTTGATCTTCACAATACGCTGGTGCGTCACATTGCGAAGTTTTTGGGAGATTTTGACGACAGTTAACCCAGCGGACAGTCGATGACGACAGTCACTCAAATTCATAAGGCGCTTATGCGATGAAAATAACTTGAGGTTTATATCAACGTCTAAGCACTTGTTTCATCGTTTTCTCTAATAGTTCACATGCGTTGAAACTTAATACAGAAAATCGAATTACTTTTACGAATCAAAATCAACTTCAAACCTTTATTTAAACGACTAAAACTCGAGTTCTTGCAAATTGTTTATTGCGTCGCTTTTGCTTATTTTGTTTTGAGATACTGGAAACATCTAAACACATATCGCCCCGTAGGTGTCGCTAGAGCCGACAGAGGAAACAAATATTCGTATAATACGAAGATGGTGAGACTGCGTCGAGCATATGCTGTACTGAATGAATATAAGAACATTTCAAACGTCTGTACACATTCTAAATCCAGTATTATTTACTATTTCAAATATTATATTAGGTCTTTAACTATAAAATTGCCGTTTTTTATGAAATAAGTTAACGTTATTTTTCTTGGTAGATTTTTTTATTTCTATCAATCAAAGTAATTACTACCACTGGACGGGAGGCAACAAGTTCTTCAAAGGCATTTTGTACGGTCTCTCGGGTATTGAATTTTTTCCCGCCAAAGTTATTTCAATTCTGTGAAAAATTGAACTCGGTAGGCGCAAGGTCTGGTGAGTACGGCGGATGACGGAGAGCTTGCAACCACAGCTCATGTCACTTAAAGACTGTCTATTGTTCAGTAAGAGGTCGCGCGTTGTCGTGCAGGAGCAGCGAGACCAAAGCCGGTTGCAGATGTGCGAGTTTTTCCATTATTGTGTCAAGTTCTTCGCAGTACATATCTGCATTAATACTCATCCCGTTTCGTAAGAAGCTTTAATGAATCACACCAGCGCCAGACCACCAAACTGTGACCATCACTTTTCTAGGGGTAAGTTTTCGTTTAGGGCATAGTTTAGAAGCTGAATCAGGATCCAGCCAACTTGCTGAGTTCTTGCGGTTGTCAAACAGAATCCATTTTTCGTCGCAGGTAATATAGCGGTTCAAAATTTCTTCGCTTGTGTGTCTATTGAGCAGTGCCAGTCACGTCTCGACGCGTACTTCGCGGTGGCGATCATTGAGTTCATGGGGCTCTCATTAGTCAAGCTTTTTTACCTTGCCAATTTGACGCGTCATCCATAGCCAAAGATTGATTATCATCAACTTCTACAATCGCCTTTAATTCGTCACTATCGACCAGTTTTCGGACCACCACGGGTTAATTTTCAGATCGAAATTTCCAGAACGGAAGCGGGCAAACCAATGTGGCCTTGAAAGAAAAGGGGAGATCTCCCGCCGGGCAAGGTGTTCTGCCCGGGGAGCGGCCAACACTCCATGTGATAGTTCGGAGATGTTCTATATATACTGTTTATGATTCGGAATGTTGATAGCGCGATTTAGGCTTCGGTGTGTTTTCGCTTGTGGCGCGACGACAGCGCCGCTACATCACCCCCTGCTCAGACCGGAGGTCGATAGTGCAGCCTCGTTGCCGACGAATGTGCAAGTGCCAGAAGATTGCCTTGTCTGCGGTGAGTCGAGAAGAAGGCAAGTAATCTGCGAGAGTGCCGTGAAGCAGAGGCGAGCAGTAAGGCTCAGAGCCGTGCCGAACACTGTATAGCGCAGAGAGTAGCTTGAAGGAACAGGAAGCATTATTATTCCAGTGCTGCGATGAACCTTGTGAAGCTAGATGGCTTGCAGGATATGAAGACTGTAGTTTATATCTGCTCGGGAGCGAATGGGTGGGGTATTTCTATGACGATGATGAAGCTTGAAGTTTCCGAAGGTTGTTGGTTGCGTGTTCAGATCACGTCGGGGTCACCACTGTGGCCTTGAAAGAAAAGGGGAGATCTCCCGCCGGGCAAGGTGTTCTGCCCGGGGAGCGGCCAACACTCCATGTGATAGTTCGGAGATGTTCTATATATACTGTTTATGATTCGGAATGTTGATAGCGCGATTTAGGCTTCGGTGTGTTTTCGCTTGTGGCGCGACGACAGCGCCGCTACACCAATAACAGGTGGTGCGTTCGCTTGTAGTATTCGCTCCGTAATTGTCGTTGATGTTGTGTGCCGCTCATGTTAAATAATTTCTTGAATTTTTAACGTATCCATGATGACAAAAAAGATTTAATTGCAATGAAAACATAACGCTAATCAATAAACAAATGACTAATTTTGAAAAAAAATTCCATGTTTTTAAAATAAAATTAATTTAAAATAAGATTTCCAAGCCAAATAAAAACATTTTGATTTGAAATGGCCAGTACTGCAGAACGGCAATTTTACAGGTAAGGACCTATTTCTAAAATATTTTTGCAAAAACTGTTTGAAAAATTTACATTACAGTTATATCACATATTCTTATTGCAAGTGCAAATTAAGTTATTTCCACACATCATTACAGTACATTGATCTTCAATACATTGACCTAAATCTTCTTCTATTGCATAAAAGTTATAATAAATGCAAGGATTAAGACTAGCAGGTTTCGTATGTATACAAATGTATATGATATTTAAACAATTATTTTAGTATGTTATAATCAGCGTGAATGCGCTCAGTGTTTATCGATGTAAAAGTAAACTTTTACGGACAAATATAATATTATGTATATTTTCTCTATGTATGTTTGCACTTACCTCGTTGTTAGGTAGAAGAACTAAAAGACCATTAACCACTCTATCTTTTAATATTCGAGGACAGCTTTCTACCAATTCTTGCCAATTACTTGGTAAATTTTCTTTATATTTTTCTCTAAAAATTTAAGATATTTATTTAATCGTACAAATAAATAATACATTACAATATGTACACATCTATTAATATTAAAAATTATGAAAATATTATTAGTTTTGCTATTTGCATTCATTAAAAACAGCAAACTTAAACACATTTATTTCATTTATGAAGGCAGATAGCTATGAGTTGTTGGTGAATTTGTGCACTTTCAAAAAACCAACTTCGAATATGTTTCAATAGTTAACAAAATTTAAAACTAGAACCCAGCATGATCGTTGAACGTTGTAAATTTCTTCAGAGAAAGCAAAATCTAAAAATTGTTGATCATGTGACAAATTTGAAAAGAATGTCTTAATGTTGTATTTGATACGTGGTTGGAGGATAACAAATATACGCAATCATTTTATGATAAGTCGTAAAAGAATACGAGAACATCTGTTTGCGGAGGAGTGTTTAGATTTAAAAAAGGCGTATAGGCTGTTAAGACATAATATTACAAGCAAAAATACTATGACATCGCGGCGGACTAGGGCCGCTTACGGCCAGCGCGCTGTGAGCCTGTGAGTACGCTAGTAGCAGCGGAGGCGTCCGATAGCTCGGCGCGGAGGTAGCGTCCATGCTCGCTGACCGAGCTCAGGCTCACCGTCAGTGTCAAGTATGCGACGGGACACCCGTCGCGCCATCTTACATGTTCATCCGTTACGTGTGACGAGTGTGCAAAAGGACAAGGCGTCGAGTGTGCCCGTACCTGTTATAACAGAACGAGGTGGAGAAGACAAGAGGCTTCAGCGCAAACTTAAGCACGACCAGTGATGACAGTGATGTGGTACCGTACTACATGAGGTACACTGAAAGTTTTGCGTAGCTCATGCATAAAACAATTTGTAAATAACGCATTAACTGCTTTTCAGAGTATAATTATTTGACTTGCCACGAATATTCGGCTATTATTCAGTATTCAACATATTCGGCAAATTTTATCTTATTCGGTCGAATACCGAATATCTAGGTACTATTCGCCCGAATACCGAATACTTAAATGTTTTGTTGTAGTCAGATAATTGATAAAATGAAAATAGTGATTAATATTACTGTATTTTTCTGGTAATCATTAAAGTAGTCATAGATAGGTACATAATCAACTTCCGTTGTCTATGCGCTTGAATTATCGTAATTACGAGTACTAGGCATGTGTCAGTCGTGAATATTTCGTTCGTTTGAACCGGCACACTTAAAAGTATTGATGATTCATTCTTCTGTTTTTGAATGTTCTGGTTCAACCAATCACAAACTATTGACGGAACCTTTTTGACTTGTGATTGGTGTGAATAGTGAATGAGTCGAATACCGACCGAATCCCGAATGATTTGAAAGTTTGTAGAGTAGACTACACAGTGCATGCAATCGCCAATGTTGCCAAGTTAGGCGATTTTTAGTTATTTACGCTAGATCTAAAGCAATCGGAGCGACAAAATTTGTGATTTGCGACTAGTCGCCAATTAGCCTATCTCAGAAAAAGGCGATTGTAAGCGATATTCTGTGTATCTTTTATTAGAAAATAAGAATATGTAAATTTCTTAGTAGATTTAATTAGTATTTAGTATTAGATTCTTTAGTAGATTTTTTATATCAATGTAATCTACATCTACGCTTACACTTCTTATTACGTCTGATGAATAATATAACCCTAAAGGCCATATGTGTATAGTAAATTAAAGCATATTCTTAAAATATTACTTATAAAAATAATTTCATTCATAATAAAACACGGATTTCATAATTTACCGATTTATATTTAAAAAAATGTTTTATGCCATCTAGCGTCTTTTCTACGTACCACCATGAGAGTTAATAAATTTGATTCGATAGCCACATTACTTATAGAATTAAGTAGATGACGCTATGACAAAGCAAAATCAATGCTACCCTGAAGGCCGAAATGATCCATTTGAATGACCTGGTACGTAAGACGAATTAATACTTGAATGATAGGTGCAGAAAGACTAGTTTTTCTCCATTTTTAGGCAGTATTTTACTCTTTTTCTTCTCGTAGACCATCCAAGCTTCAGAGAAAAGATGCTCTGAATAAACACAACTTCCTTTCCAGCCGAATACTTTTGCCTAATATTCGGCTATTCGCCGAATTTTCAGCAGAATATTTGGTATTCGGCGAGTGGCCTAATATAATGTTTGTTGCACATTTGAATAATTATTTTAGAAAGTAGTTTTAAAGTATCTTATTTATAAGCTTCATAGGTTAAAAAAATATAACATTGGAAATTTATACATACAAGTATAACACAACAGAAGTGCAGAACAAATGAAGTGTAGTATAACAGAAGTGCGGAATTTTCAGATTGCCCTATGTATGTAAGCCCACGTTTATTCAGTCGAGTGTAGATGGGATAGATTTGGAGATGGAATTCATCACGGGCATTGCGCTTTCTAGTATTAACGATGTAATGTTTTAATTATTTTAAAAATATTATTTGCATCTGAACTAAACGACACGTGCCGAAGTGCGGCCGCTGTGAGTTCTCTGACACGGCCGCCACATCATTTTTATAGCGAGCCGCTGTGCTGCGCGCGCACCACCAAGGTTTTTGTTTGAACAGATAACTATTCAAACAAAAACCTTGGCGGAATCTCGATATAAATCTAGAGCTATAACATATAAAATCTAAATCTAGAACAGTTCCTTATTCTTTAAATTTAAAAATGAAATAAATAATAATGAAAATATATTTTTTTATAATCGGCTAGCAGTTTATGAAAATTACATATCCCTTCTTGAATGCCCAATAATGTTTTATAGGACCATATTTATTTTAAATTACAAAATATCTTACAAAAATCATTTTACGTAGTTACTTAACGAGAAAAATTCTTAGTTCCGTTACGTAGATGACGATGTTGTGACAAGTTCTAACAATTTTTAAAATTATGTTGCGATCAAATAACTTTGTTCATTCATTTATTACGATCTATCAAGTCAACTACTGAACATAGGCCTATCCAACGGATAGCCTCATAAGGGGATATTTGCCATAGTTTCGACTTTGGCCTGACGGGTTGGCAACCGCAGTTTTTGCTTTGGATCTATTTGTTGTTAGGAAGATGCTGTTGCCCATCTCCTGGTTTCCCTCTGCAGATGTTTACCACAACCATGCGATTTGGAGTAGTGAATATTCTTTCACCGCCAACTCACATTGTTATTGAATACTTATGTTATAAATTTCCATTTTATTACTAATTAGAGATCTGGGAAAAATATTTATGTAAGGTTATTTTAAGCATAAAATGTGATTAATTTCAAACTTGCAACTATTTGTAGGAAAAATTTATTATGTATTTTTCATGTGAGATTTTACTCGATAAAGAATATGTATCAGAAATTAGTTTTAAAAATAGATCCATATTGCAAGAATATAATAAACAAAATAAAATTACTATAATTAAAATAAGCGGCGTTTCGCGCGCTCCTCAAACTCTAACTCGTTACCCGCTCGTCATCATTGAATTTAAGTATAAGAAAAACTCCAAAATTTACGAGCACTTCGAGTGACCGCAAAAGTAGCATCCAGTATATGCTGACTGACTTATTTCAATTTCGTGTTTTCCTGTCCACATAATATTCAGTAGTTATTTAAAAACTTGGAAAGTTTAATAAAAATAAAATTTTGTTACAATTAAGTTGTTAAAAAAGATATAAAAATAAGGGTTGTTTATCAATGATCGATAAAAAGTGCCTAGGTTAATTAAGGTTTTTGTATTTTATTTACATGCATTTAACCTGTTGACAATATTCAATAATAATTAACAGATTTTTTAAAACATTATAAAAAACTACATAAAAATACAAAGATCACAACAAATTCCGTTGATTCAGAAAATATAAAAATTATGTTGCAGACTACTGTCGCTTTGTCATGGAACCAACAATAAAATCGAATATTCGAAGGCATGAAGCATCAACACTGCAAACATAACTGCTCAACGATTTGTCTCCGACTAAATTAATCGACCGCGTAAATTACTTCCGGACGGATCTGTTTTTGCATCACGAAATTAAGTACCTGCCGTGAGTCATTTGAGTCCGGTGTCTTACACAGACGAGGAGTATTTTAATATGTTGATGTATCTTGGAAAATTCGGTGTAAGATGGATTAACCGTGGTGGACCGGTCAACAGGCCGGCTAGATCAACTGATCTCATACTTTTATCTCTGTGGTTCGATTAAGCAATCAGTACATTTTTTTTAAACTTGCGATACCAAGGAAAGAGAGAAATGTCTTTTCTGCCGCGTGCGATCAGACATTATAATTTATAATATAATCCGGTGTCGCAAGTAAAAAACGGTCGTATCGAATAATATGTTCGCGGTCGTCAAGAAGACGTAATGATTAATAAGAGTCCGTACATATATATCACAATTGGTCGACGTCAAGTTTTAAAAGTTGTGATTTTCGATTATCAGTTATTTTTATTATTTTTCATATTATATTATATTATATTATTATTACGATTATTATGTGGCGCTAGGCATCGCGGCCTGCTTTTTGCTTTGGTTTGAGTCATCATTTCATGCAGAGGTAATCAATCCACATACAATTTACAAATATTTAATTTCATTGGGTAATTTTTAGATGATATTTAATTTCATTGGGTAATTTTTATATTGAGTTTTCTGAAGTTGTTATTTCTATACGTTTGAATACTGATTCTGTAACGCACTTAACGGGAACCACATAGTTATTGTTACATAATGTATTGTGTCGGTACTAATGAAAAACCATAAAATCAGAAGACAGATAACTTCAATATTATCAATATTAGTTATCAATCTAAATTTAGCTACCGTCCTGGCATAACGTATTATTAAAATAACCTATACGTCATCGTAATCGGATGGTAACCTCAACAAAGAAATGACGAGTTAATCAGGAAAGGACTGTTCCAGAAGGTCTGAATTGATACCACTATGGGTGAACCCCACAGAGGGTAATCCAGTGATCAAAAATTCACTCAAGTCCAGATCATAGGCACTGCACCGTTAGCGTCGAGTCCCAATACAAGACCGTTTGCTTAGCGTTCCGAGTGGTTCATAATATGCTATATTATTAACCCTTCAAGAGCCATAAAATCATGATCAATCATAACAGGCATGCGCCTGGTAGTATGGTCGACAAATATCGTAAATTGACAGGAGAATAAAAATAAAAATTCATAGAATAACTGACTTTTGTTTAGACCACAAGATAGAGAATTTCGTATAAATTCTAAAATTTTCTTTAATGGTTCTAATATAATCTAATAATATCTTCTTTAATGGTTTAAAGTGCTGTGGGTGGCTGCGGTCGCATGCGACCGCTCCGGATTTGACGGACGCATACCATAAAAACTTATATTTATAGAGTACTTTTCTATAAATAAGTCAGGCATTACAGAATCTACACAAAATTCTCTATTCTATAGTTTAAACAAAAGTCAGTTATTCAATGGATTAATCATTACAAAAATACTTTATTGTATTTTGATAGATACATACCAAGCGGATGTCGGTGGCGTGAAAATTACTATTATTTCTATATATTACTCGAAATTATTTACGTAATAAGATAAATTATATTCACACAAAAACTTTCATAGCAATATTATGATATAAAAAAACTGTTCTTAACTTAAAAAAAATCCATAAATCAACGCAACAATGTACAACAACGAACACTCGACAATGACGTACTTTGAAAGTAGATTGTAAATGAATATCTATAGACTAACTGAATTTTTATTCAACTAGAGGATAGAAAATTTCATATTGATTCTATAATTCCAAACTTCTTCATAGAAAAGTAGTCTTTAAATATAAGTTTTTATAGGTTATAGTGCTGTGGGTGGGTGCAGTCTCATGAGACCGCTAGTTATTTGACGGAATATGGCCGCGGTCTCATAAGACCTTTAGGGGATTGAGCGGTTAAAATAAATGAATATCTTATTAAGTTCAATAATGTATGATAGTTACAAAAAACAATACATAATAAAATTCACATATCTAATTAGTCTACTTATTCCAAGAATACAAATAATTTTAGCAGTTGTATCCGACACCCGCGACCCACTCTTATTCTATGTCAAACAATAGATTTATGGACTAGACGCAAACTACGAACGGACGTGCGGTGTGCGGTCACCTAGAAACTTGAGACAGCACTGAACTTTTTACTCTGTTCTCTATCTAATATAAAGCAAATTACGGGAGACTAACTGCTTCATACCAAAATATCGGGGCACGATTTCTGCTAAAAAAATGAATGATTTTTATTCTTAAATTATTGCTTTATGGTTTGAATGAGTAAAAAAGTTAATGGTGAATGTATTATTTATACTTCCAACTTTTTAAAATAATAACGAAATAGCTCAGAATATTCAAATAGAAAAGGCTGTTTTAGATGTTTTTACCATATCTGACGAATTTTTTTCTCAAAAATCAAGATTTTTTTATAAGTAACAAGCGGTGTACGTGAAGACCCTTCTATTAACTAACTGAGGTTTTTTTTTATGGTGCCATTTAATGAAGTAAGTTCTTCAATAGTTTTAAAACCAGAACTGACTATTTGCGCGTTTTTTAAGGAATAAATTCTTAATAAAATATTCTATTATGTTGAGGAGGATATTTAATTAATTCACGACACGGCATTCTACGTGCGGACATTGTATTTTGTGACTCGGAATAAGCCGCATGAACGTCGTAACTGTGTTGGATTTCATCCCTTGGCATACGTATCACAAATAATCTTTAAGTTTTAAAATTTTTTGAAAGAAACATGTGAAGAGCGGACAATGAGGTGCAAAGTATAACCTGTACAAATGAGGCACCATGCTAGCCCAGAGCCCAGCTTCGTGTTCGGAAACTAGGTCCGCAAGGCAGGTGATGGCCTTGCTGCTAGACGAGGTGGGCAGCCCGCCCGCCTCCGAGCTTTCGATGATGGCCAGCAGTTTCACGGCCGCCACCTCCTTTGCCAGCTCCTCCGATGGTGAAGAGTCTGGGTACGATGACGCTGAGTAAGAGTTCCCTACCTAAAACAAGCACCGAACAAAATGTAATTATTAAAAACATTTTACGTTATAACTCATTTTCAAATACTTTATTGTTAAGGGGAAATATAACCTCAAATGGCTTAGCAAGATCCTCCGTTATGCCGAAAGTATTGCAGCATTAATTTTGAAATAAATATATGGTAAAGTTGAGGAGGCTGCGGAGCGACAGGAACCAAGCTTACGCGCCGATAGTTTAGGTAATTTCTTTTTACAGTGAAAATAATGATATTTTAAAAAAAGTAAATAACATAAGCACTGCTTTATGGTTAGTTCAGTTAGTATGCAAAGTTTCATGATCTTAAAAGTTTTTATTACACGTGTTCAGTTTGGAGGTAACTTTGGATTTTTTTTCTATCGAGAAAATTTTACGGAATCGTGTTTTCGTCTAACATAAACCTTAACATTAATCCTCAACTTTACCATATATTTATTTCAAAATTAATGCTGCAATACCTTTCGGCATAACGGAGGATCTTGCTAAGCCATTTGAGGTTATATTTCCCCTTAAGGAGCACAATTTAAAATTAAAGTTTTTTTTATTTTCGTTTTTATAGCTATGATTCTTTTATAAATAAACAGATAAATTCCCTGCTTACCAGACAGAAAATTATCATGCTAATCATTAAAATGTTAAAAAACATAACCTACCGAGTTCTTACATTATAGTGGTCTTGTTCTATAGGACAGGCGGCAACGCTCTATTGTAAAAGTGCTAAAGCGGTTTTCGATAAGGTTTTAGGCCACATATCCTTCGAAAGATTTTACATAAGAAAGACCAAAAGCCTTGACCTTGACACCTTGTCTTGCGTATGTGGTTTTACTCATAAATAATAATAATAATTTTATTTCAGATATAAGCTCCATAATTTGTTAGTAATAAATAATATAAACTTAAAATTAATGTTGATAAATATACAACTAAAAAACAACAATGCTTATTTTATATTAAATATAACAGCTCTGGACCCCATATGCACAGTGTTCCAGTGCCGCACTACCGGACAATCAAACCTACCTAATACAGTACATAGGAGTTCGTTGGCACTATCTCGCACGCGTCGCATCAGGGAGGCCACTCTCTTCCGCATTATTGCATCAAAGCTGTCCGTGTTAGCCTCAACAAACATACCTGATGCGCTGCAATATCGAGACAGCCCCATTAGCATCCTAAAGCCATTATTATATTGAACACGTAGAGCATTTACGGATCTGCGAGTATACTTGACCCACAGGCTGCAGGTGTAAAATGTTTGGCAGTACGCCTTAAAAAGGGTTATCTTGACAGCTTTGGACACTTTGCAAACCTGCGAGCCAGCATGTTGCACCTCACTGCTAACGCTCTACGTTCTCGTTCAATATCCAAGTCATCAGAGAGGTCATCTGTAACCCAGTGCCCCAGGTATTTAAATTTGGTGACTCTACTTAAAGGTACTCCTCCAAGCATGACCGGTGGGATATCCTTGGGTTCTTTATTCCCTGCCTTGAAAACAAGTAGTTCACTCTTTTTGGAGTTGTACCTGAGGCCATGGGCTTCGGCATATCTCTCACATAAATTTATTAATGTTTCAAGTGCTCTGATCGAAGGGCTCAGCAGCACCATGTCGTCCGCGTAACTGATGCTGTTTACGAAGTTACCATCTATTGAGCATCCGACGCCAGTTCTGCTAAGCTCATCGATCAATCCATTTATATATAGGTTAAAGAGCCTCGGTGAAGTTAAGCCCCCCTGTCTCACTCCACATTCCAACCTATATTCACTTGAGTATGAACATGCCCACCTTACATTATTTGATTGGTTGTGGTACCAATACCTTAATATATCGACTATATAGGCGTACTCGTTTCCCTCCGAAGCTTATCCCATAATAGGTTGTACGAGACGAGGTCAAATGCCTTCGACAAGTCCAAAAAACAGGCGTATACAGGCGTTTTTCTCGTAACATAATACCGGACGGTATGCTTGAGTCGCAAGATACTGCAGTTTCAGTGGACAGTTCAGGTATAAACCCAAACTGTGCCTCATGTACCTGTATATGTTTACTTATTCGACGATCAAGCAAACCATCCAATACTTTGGCTATCACAGTAGCTAGCGAGATCGGTCTATAATTGTTCTTGTAGGCAGCATCCCCGGTCTTATTCTTTAGAACTGGTACCACTATGGTCTTCATAAGTTCCTGTGGTAAGTATTCATGCCCTATACATGCATTATAGAGCATAGTCAACACCCTAGGCAGATGAACTCCCGCATACTGCAGGTGCTCAATACTGAGGTCATCATGTCCAGGTGATTTACCACGTGTCATATTATTTATGACATTTGCGACTTCTTTCGCAGTAAATCTGGCAGATTCACTGCATGATTTCTCCTCAATATCGAACACCCGCTGCACCGGTCCCAATGGAGATTCCACTTTGAAGTGTTCAAAAATGGGCTCACTCTTACCATCGATACTCGCAGGTAAGCATGATGCAGTTTCCAGCTTCTTTATTTGTTTCCAAAAACTCTTAAAATCTTTTTCTTTGTGGTGAGTAGCCAAAATATCCATTTTTATTTGGTACTCATTGTCTTGACACCACTTAAGCTTTGACTTAAAACACCTCCTAGCTTCTCGCATTCTGTCATATACATAACCCGCACTGGGCTTACCATACAGTAACCACATTTGGAAACTGCATCGTGCCTCCTGATGGACCTCCCGTAAGTACCTATTCCACCCAACAACCAGTTTGTGTTTACTACGCTTTCTTATCTCATAGCTAGTTTCAACAGCTTCTCTTAAGATGTAAACAATATTATTATACAACCTATCAATTACAGTTCTATGATCTACATTTTTACACACTTTATCCGCACAAAACTAAATTCTATCGGAAAATCAATATTTCTTAAATTATTATGACATATTTTACTGTATACGTTAATCTGATCAACGCCCCTCTCACCCCACTTCACCTTGTTACAACATTTTTCTTTATATTGCGTTTTAAATGACAGATTACCTATCTTAAAATCTACTTCCAGTGGAAAATGATCTGACCAATAAACATCAAGGCATACCTTACAATTTAATACACATCGCCAAGCTGCCTCTGTTACCAGACAGTGATCAAGCCATCTTCGGCAGTCCTTTTTAATGTCACTTATATAAGTGTATGTGTCTGATGTCATTTTTAAATGGACCACGTCTGCACAGAGCCACCTCCGCTCCTCACAGAAATTGGATAACTCATTATAGAATAATTCTCCGGGATGCGCATTAAGATCACCGAGAATAATTGCAGATTCAATTTCGCAACTCTCGATTACAGCGTCTATTTCACTTAACACCTCTGTAAACTCAATTAAATTATCTTGATTGTCTGTAGGCATATACACCGAAAAAACCAGGAACAAACGGTTATTCGCACATATTTTAATAGCTGTCAGTCTAACACTATTACACGGAACGATTGTAACTGACGAAAACATACTTTTCTTCCACATTATCGCCACCCCACCATAGGGTCGCCCACGGAGCATGCTGGTTGATGTGTCCACCGCTGACTTGCTCGTGAATTCAAAGTCACTGTCAATATTCCCTATATATGCAATGTCATGCGGTAATAACCATGTCTCCTGAAGAGCTATTACGTGTGCCGTCTTGCATAATTCCCTCACCCCGTCCACTGATCTCGTTACTGACTTGCAATTAAAACTAATAAGTTTTATACTGTGATCATCATTTATGTCCATACTATACTTTTCATTAACTTTTACCACCAGCCTCACTCAAGCCCATAGCAGGTAATTTCCTGTCATTAAAATTAATAAATCGCCGAAACGATATACCTTCAGGCCAAAGATTCTTGTCCAGGAACATTTCCGTCATATGCCGGGGAACAAACACTTTATAAGACTTATAATCTTTTTGACGTTTCATTTTAATTTCCACCAACTGTACAGCAACATTCGTTTTGCCTAAAATATAATCGGCAATGTCCTGGGTTGAAGTCTCTTTATCAACATTGTTTATAAACAACGGTATTCTTATATTTGCTGCCTTAAATTTACCCGTAGGATCCTTCGACTGCCCCTGTAACCCAATAAATCTGTTCCTAAGTCTTTTCCTCTGCACCGTAATCCATTCTTCATCCCTTTTATTCAGAAATTCGCCCCCTCCCCGTACTACTTGTGAGAATGTACTCCGTTCGTTAAGCTTACTCACTGGCACAGTACCGCTCGCTCGTTCCGCTACACCTGTAGTTGAGGCCACCTGAGTCTGCGCGCACGCATTATTTTCGGACTGCGTCTGTGCGGAAACCGCGGTACTCGTAGAGGCCTCCACGTGCATGCCCTTATCTATTATGTTTGCTTCAGTTGCTGTTGATTGCCCGGCAGGGACAAGTGCAACCGTAAGTGCATGCTGACTCATCGTGTGCGACGCATCCAGCCGACATTGTGAGTCACACTGAGTTACTGTATTATTCTCAGCTATTGTAAATACCGTTTGATTTGAAGTAGCCGTTTTTTCTACCTCCAATTTTTATAAAACCAAATGGCCCGCTATCCGATTCAAGGTTACCGTAATGTACTAAATTACTCGTGCCTCTTTTCTTATTTAAGGAATGTTTAAATTGGTTAATTATTTAACAGTGAACCTTGCTTCATGTTATCGATCTCCATTTATAATTTGTTAATTTGCTCAACTGTAGAGTACTGCTCTGTTATAACTTGAACCTGATCTTTTAGGATAATTATGTCTTTCAGTAATCTCGTGACATCGACATGGTCAAATGTAACCGGTGGTAGTTTTCGTAGCTCTCGGGCTACGAATATGGGGATTAGTTCTGCTGATGTACACTTGATAAGGGATATAATGTCCTAGAGATCCCGCTGTATTTTTCCATCTGCTTTGCCCTTTCTCTTTATCCTTTTCCCTGAAGTTTGCACAGATTGATAGAGTAAGTCTTTTGCAGCCGCAATCTCTTCAAGAGAGAACGCAGTTGCACACAAGCGAACTATGCTTTCTTCATTCATCACATCTACTTGATTCTGAATAAATGTCAAAACTTCACTAATGACAATGTTACAGCTATTACATTTTACTACATTCACAGACATTGTGTAGAACGCCACACAACTCTTTCACATTAAACACGTATTATCGCGGCAACGTACGCGAGCAGACTGACGATAAAGCCTTTGATTTTTTCGCAGAAAGCTTTCGATAGAATGATGACTTTCTTTTTAAGGAATCTTTTTCTTTTTAAGGAATAGGATATAGAAGTGTTGAAATGATTGTAAAATAAGGCTACGTTTGCTATCGATATATATATCTATTTTCATTCAGACAGTAATGTTCAAGTTAATATTGAAAAGGCTTAATGTTAAGCTAAGTCAGTGAGCTTTTACATTTTCTGCTGAACAAGCACTTACCAACAGGTGGTATAGTAGTCAAGCACAGTCTTAGAATAGTTAAAAACAATCTATGCTAACTGCAGAGGTGTAAGACATGGTGACGTTATACTCCCAAGCACTTTACCGCTGCATTAGCAGTAGTTTTCAAGCTACTGGACTGGATAGAGTACTATATGGCGAGTACATTAAAGTTTATGATTTTATGGCAGAAGCGCAAGAGGAATATCCTTAATGACCTTAACAGTGTCTCCCAACGGTTACGCCTAAAGATGAACATGGACAAAAGTTATGAGTAACGTTCATGTCATAATTATGCCTATAGTTATTGGGAACACTACTCGAAGTTGAAAAGTTGTGAAAAGTTTTCCGACTTGGTAAGTTCAACTTCGACCGAGGGACAATCGACGGATTCAACTTGGTTGGGCCACATAATAAACAGTAGTACTACGTAGTTGGGCAGCGTTGAGGATATTGCAATACATCGCGTCAAGCATTCCTCAAAACTTGAAAACAAGAGTGTAACAACCAGTGCGAGTTGCCAGTGATGAGTTATGGAAGTGATACATGGTCCGCCACTGCTAGCCGTATGAGAAAATTGAAGCCGCTCAGCGAGCGGGGTCTATGCTCGTCGTTTCTCTGCGTGATAGAATTCGTAATAAAGATATCCGCAGCAGAACCAGAGTAACAGCCATAGCCCAACCGACAACCGGTGGGAAGTAATGTTCTAGAGTGGCAGCTCCGTACCGTTAAGCAATCTGTAGGACAGCCCCGTGAGACAAGACCGTGTTTTATGGTTATTCTTGGGGAGGCCTATGAGGGAGGGGGGATGCAATGAACCTGCTAATGGCTAATGATGCTTAACACACTAACAATTAATCACTACACTTATCATGTAATTTACTGAGTTTTATCCATTTAGAATAATGTACACATTTAACACTTTCATATTTGATGAAAATCAAGCATCAGAGTTGTGCTATTATGGAATAAAAAGTATCATCACCAATGATATATTAACTTAATTTTTTATGCCAAAACATCTGAATGGTATAATATAATGATAATTCTATTATTTATTACTTACGGCTTAAATTAAAGACGTACGGAATAAGTTATTATTAAATTATAAGGCGATTGCCGCAATTTATTAAGGTTTACATAAGTACAAAAAAACTAACCTTTACACTACAGTCGTAGCTAACAGGACCTTTTTTGGGTCGTATATCATACACCTTGACCACCGGCTGCGGCAACCCCAGCTTTTTACAAGTCCATTCCAACTTTTCGAAAGAAGACGTCGAATCTGGAGGTGGCTCTAAGTTGTGAGCTGGAGCCACATGTGTTACTGGATCGGTGCTTTCCTTAGTTGAAAATTGTCACGAAATATAGTGTATTGTAAACTAAATCAAGAATGAAAAAATTTAACAACGCTATTTTTATAAATTAAGAAATAAACATTATTTTTACAATGTGTTGATTATCCATGCCATTATTTAATTGAACTACAAATTATATTGTAACATGACTAACACGTAAAGCATTTTAATTAAGTAATTACAAAATTTATATTACCAAGATATCGTTATGAGCCGGCATTTGCAAAGGTATGAGATCAACAGTATTTAAACGATCCCTTAGGTTAGACAGCCGCTGTGATGCGGACACTTTACCGCTGCCTTTAATATCAGTCTCTTTCTCGTTACGTGTGGAATGTTTAAACTGAAAATGTTATATATTATTTCATAACCGCTATGTAATGTAAATAATTGCAATTTAGTTAGTAATACCCATTTACTTTGAAAAAGAAAATAATTTCTAAACTTTTTCTTATAGACTACCCTTTAATATAGTTCTTTCGTTAGTGTGGAATGTTTAAACTGAAAATGTTAAATATTTCAAACCGCTATGTAATGTAAATAATTGCAATTTTAGTGTAGTAATACCTATATACAGGTAAAATTTTTACTTTGAAAAAAAGCAAAATAATTTCTAAAGCTTTTTCTTATAAAAAAGGTAGATAGGTACTAACAAAATAATTTTTCATTTATTACTTTTTTATTCTTTTATATCTTTATTACATCACGAGCGCATTGGCCGGTACGATACCGATATAACATCAGGTGTACCGAAAACAGGCATCGGTTAATATTCCCCTATATAGCAATCTATGGGGGAGGCCTATGTTCAGCAGTGGGCTTTTGATAGCTTGTAACGATAACTGGAAGTAAATAAAGTACGGTGCGGGCGTCACCGGTTTTTCCCCGGACCGCTCACCCCACACTGGGTCTTTGCCGGTATCGGTGCCTATATCGGTGTCTGTCGGCAACGATATCACTGACGATATGGCTGACACTGTTAAAGTGTTTAGTCATCAGTCCGCCGATTCAGTCAGTGTCGTTATTGACCAATGTGAAAACGCCTAATTGTACAGGACGCATTTATTAAAAGAAAACAAAAAGAAATACCTCATCATTATGAGCAGTAATAATTTCGCGTTGAGAATTTGCACTATAACCTTTAGGATTATTACAACCAACTTTTACAGATAGATCAGCAGTCTTATTCGTTAGTTTCGCACTTATGGACACATTTTTCGTTTCGTTCGGCTTGTTGAATTTATTATACTGAAAAATAACACAAAGAAGTTAAAACGTGAACGTCATGAATGTAACAGCGCAGCGTAACGTTTACGCTGACTGTCGCCGATCGACTACGGGTGAAGTAAAGAAGGGCTAATTACACAATACGGGCTAGCATGTTAGCTGGCCTATTCAGTTATTGCAATACAGCTGCAGTTACTTGCACCGTATGACCATCATACGAGTTAAGTGTCATGAGGGAGTCTAAACTTGGATGCGCCAAGTTACTGCAACATTTATTGTTGTTACTTGCCACTCGCATTCCCCAACTACGCCAAGAGACAGCTGCGCAAAGTATTGCAGCTTAAAATAATTTTGTTACCGTGCAGTTATTGTGGTATGAATTATAATCTGTTTATTTTGCAAGTTTCTGTGAGAACGCAGTCTTACACCGTTCGAGTCGACACATTCGTGCTACAACCATAATATACGTGTAGCATGGCTCTACGTTATGTATCAATATTGCTTTTGGCTACACTAAGTATAATAATTACATAAAAAAATACAAGAATTCTTCTTATAAATGTAATGAATATACCTTGTTATAGTTGTTGTTGTTGAATGGTGTGTTATATGGCTGTCTTGAATACTGATTATCATAATTCGACGGATTACTGGAGGTTGGTGCAGGCTTTCTCCATGACCCTTGTTTCTTTGGAAATCGATTCTGTAATAAATATTTATAACAATAACACAATTAAAATATATTATAAGAATAAATAAAAAATCTATACTAGGCCACTATTTTACCGTCTGGAAAATAATATGGTGTCTTGTATAAGTGGAATAGAAGCTATCCTCGAAAGTATTGGAAAATACAACTTGATCTCCGAATATAAAAATACATAAAAACAATTCATCCATCCCATCCTACGGCGTTTGAAAAAAAAATCAATTTATTGAGCTTTTCCGTCAAGAAATTCTCAGTAGCTGTCCGATGTCAGGAAGTTGACGGTACCTCACCTCCGTGCCTCGAAATGCACGTAAAGCCGTTGGTTGGTCGTGGTTTTTTCGCCTCAATGCCCTTAAAACGTTCAGTGTAAATAGACCTTCCAGTACTAGTTACTGCCTACTAATGCAAGATCAGCATATACTAGTTAATTATAAAAGTACTTGATCGATAAAAGAAAGATTTAAAATAACAGCACTTCTCATTGCCACTCTTTAATTAATAATGTCGTCGAGTGTCGCATATTTGTAAATAGCAAAAAGCAAATGTAAATAGCCCGTGATTATTGGAAGATTTCATCATTTTTCTCGTGTCAAATATAGAAAAATGCTCATATCCATTACAACACAATAGAAATAGACATTTATTTTGTTTTATTGGCATCAATATACTTTAAATTAGTTTATTTGACCTTAAATTAGTTTTTTATTTACCTTAAATTAGTTTATTTGAATTTAGAATTCCAGATAAAACCATACCTATTACAGTTCAGAGCGGGCAGTTCAACATAACGAATATTTCATAGGTAATAATCAACATCACCATTATTATTATTATAATTTACACTGAAAATAGGCCTCTCCCAAGGAATCCCACAAAGACCGGTCCTAAGTCAAAATTATATTTGACGTTAAATATATATTTATTTGATGAAGATGGTTAGCGCTCGCTGTAAATTTCACAGTACGCGAGTAACCCGGGTTCGATCCCCGCCGGCACCATTGAAATTGTTATTTGCAATTTTAAGTGCTAATTTACCACGTGCTCGGCGGTGAAGGAAAACATCGTGAGGAAACCTGCATGTCTGAGAAATAAGCAAAAAAAATTCGAAGACATGTGAAGTTCGCCAACACGCATTGGGGCAGCGGGGCGGAGACTTCCTTGCCCTAAAACCCTCTCAGAAATGAGGGGAGGCCAGTGCCGAGCAGTGGGACGTATATAGGCTGTAACTTTATTTATTTTTCTACAGTACTTATATAATTTTTATACCCTTATTAGTTATTTAAATAATGTTCAAAAACTTACCGGATAATTTAATTTCACATTGGTTTTTTTATTAGACTTTTGGCGTGCAACCATTGTGGCAATGTGTTGAGTTTCCTGACTTGCTATGGCGTCAACGTACCATTCACCGTTGATTTGCGTTATTTTAAAGCCAGGGACGTCATGGAAAAGCTTTTCTAGTGAAGAATAACCTAATTTCTTGAAAGGTATCCATTCTCCTTGAAGCTCTCTATAGTCACCTGGAAAATAAAATAAGTACAATACGAAATTATATTCACATTACACGTTGATTGTTAATTTTTGTCGATAAAGGTACTTACGATTGCACTGTTTAATAGTTAGTGCTCCTTTTACTGAGATAAGTGTTGCTCGAAGTGCTTGAATTACTTGATCTTTATCAGCCATGACACAGGTTACACTGACAAAATAAATTAAAATTACAATAAAATGTGTCACAAAAACAAAGTATTAGGTCTTTACCCACGAAATTGAATTAAATACGAATTAATGTTATATGTAAGGCATGTTATTACTTTTTTTAATCAGTTATTGATTTGTTTCTCTAAGTTTATTTTTTTCTACAATCTTAATATATATATAAATTACGTGTCACGTTGTTTGTCCGCGATGGACTCCTAAACTACTTATCTGATTTTAATCAAATTTGCACACTGTGTGCAGTTTGGTCCAAGTTGAGAGATAGGATAGGTTTTTTGCCCATGAGTGACCCACAATTTTATTTTTTGCAAAAACAAGGATTTTTAATAGGGCATGACAAATTGTCGTCGGAAAGGGCAGAACAATGTCTGCCTGGCAAGCTAGTATCGCTATAAATATTTTATAAAACTGTAGGACAAACGAACTTACAGACCACCTGATGGTAAGTGGTCACTACAGCCTATAGACTTCTACAAAAACAAACTTCAAGCAAAAAAGGCTGCATATTGTTCTCACACCTGAGAACACGTAATGGTACTGACTGCACCGTTCGGACAAGAATAAAGCAGAGAAAACACTGCCGCTTGGCGGCAGAAATAAGTAAGAGGGTGTTACCTGCACAGACGAACTCCGAGCGAGCCTGACAAGGGGGTTCTGCCACCAAGCAAAATAGTCTATCATCAACATCATTACAGCCCTTCACATGTCCACTGCTTAACATAGGCCTCCCCCAAGGAATACCACAAAGACGGTCCCGAGCCATCTGCATCCATCGACTTCCTACACGTCTTACCAGGTCGTCACTCCATCTAGTGGGGGTCGCCCTACACTACGCCTATCGGTACAGCCATGAGATTAAGAGTGTGGTCGGAGTTTTTTTGTGTTTTTCTGCGGCGGGTCTTGCAGATCTTAGCTTCGACCGCATGGACAGTTTTCACGAACTTATCATTCATATCGTCCACTGCATTGCAGTCTTCTAGGCACTGAAAACGGTTTTGTAACTCAAGCTGAAAGGTTTCGAGACTTTGGATTAGAGCACGAGGGGGGACAGAGCGTTGACTTCATTAGACGATACCTTTCAAACTTAACGTTTAGGTTCAGTGTGCCTCTAACCATTCGGTGATCGCTGCCAGTTTTCACCCTTGCGATCACTGAGACATCACTGAACAGTTGCAGTCTAGTCATCATAATGAAGTCAACCTCATTTTTTGTCGAACCGTCGTGGCTCGATCAGGTCCACTTTCTGTGGGGATGCTTGTGGAAGAAAGAGTTCATCATAAAGAGTCCCTCTTTCTTCATGAAGTCGGCCAGCTCCTGGCCCCTTAGGTTCCGTTGCTCTATCCCAAATTTCTCTATCTTCAGCTCACCGTTCTTTCTTGTGCCTAGTTTTACGTTGAAGTCTCCCATTAACACAGTATAGTGAGTTTAGCAGGAATGCATAGCTTTAGAAATATCCTCATACATTTCCTCCACCTCCTCATCGGGATCTTCCGACGTTCGTGCGTGACCGTTTGGTGATTCTGAGTATAAGATACGCAACCTTCGTCGACACACACACGAGAATTACCGTATCCTCCCCCTCTCTTTGGATCTCTGATAATCCTATAATATTCCAGCGCAACTTGTTTATCTCTTCTTCCAGCTCCAGGACTTTCTCGTCAGTCTTCAGGGTGCGTGCGTTATATGTCGCCAGGTCGAGTCATCGTAAGTGGCAACCGAACCTCCACCGAAGATTCTTAGCACCCCCTGTCCGGCGTTATCATGGTCGCCACCGTAGCCAGGAATAGCGGGGCCGCCGTGGACTGGGTTTATTCGTAACTCTAATCATGGGGGGTATATTGCCATAGTTGCCACGCTTGTCGAGCGGGTTGAAAACCGCAGTTTTTTTTGTACAATTGCTGCTATCAGGAAGATGCTGCTACCCATCTCCTGCCTGTTTCCCTCTGTCGCCTTTTACGACACCCACGGGAAGATATGGGGTAATGGATATTCTTAACCGCTACTACACGGCCAATTAAAATAGTCTATAAGAAAATTTAATTATTCAATATGAGTTCCGATGTGAAAACAATGCGTCTCAAACGGCAAGCAATATCAACGACTTAAACGGATACGAACATAGCATTATCTCAGATTTATTGGTTTCATCGCTTTTGATCAGAAATTTCTGACCTCGCAAATAAAGCTCGTGGCTTCCCAGAAAATCAGAATCAGTATATATACTGCCAGTATGTACAATATGTGGGTGGGTGGTAATGTTACACGGTTTACCCATATCGGGTATGCAATAATTGAGAAACAAAGTTGAAATAAATTATTTCATACTTCAGTAATTATAATGGGTTATTCAACAAGAACTTTGTTTTCTAAAACAAAATAAAACAAAGAGTTTACATGAAGATGATTCAAATTTTTATTGTATTACGAAGAGAAAAGTTTGGCAATTATGAATGAAAAATGATATCTGGCAAATGTCCACCACGACCACGCTGACAGATGCCGATTCTTTCATCAAAGTTTTTAATCATGTGGCACCGTCCTGTTGAAACCACATGTTTGTGATATCTATGTCATCAATAATAGGCCAAAATTGAGATGTTAACATCTCGCAGCAGCGTGATCCATTGACCGTTACCGCATTTCCAGCCTCAACTTCGAAAAGAAAACGGCCAAATCACGCCTCCAGACCACATAGCGCACCATACAGTGACACGTTGAGCATGCAAAGGCTTCTCAATAATCGCTTTAGGATTTTCGGAAGCCCAAATGCGGCAATTTTGCTTGTTGACGTACCCTGACAAGTGAAAATGGGCTTCGTCTGAAAAAATGATTTTTTCAGAAAAACCAGCGGGCTGTTCCTGAATGAATTGAGCGAATCTACGGCGATGTGAATGGTCGGTCAGCTTCAATTCCTGCACCAGTTGAACCTTGTAAGGCTTCAAAGCCAAATCCTTACGCAAAATTCGCCCTGTGGTGGTTTTGGATAACCCCAATTGTTGAGAACGTCGAGGAATTGACAAATTTGGATCTTCTTCAACACTGTGGCTCACGGCTGCGTGAACGACCCGGTCGAACACGCGTTGGTGTTGGCACATTTTGTACAGAGCCTGTCGATTCAAATTTAGCGACCAAATTCTTAATAGCGGTCTCAGAAGGACGATTATGTTGTCCGAAAATATCACGAATTTTCCGAAACGTAACTTTAGCAGAACCACCATTTTCATAGTGGATTTTAATTATTTTAATGCGATTTTCGAGCGAAATTGAATTCATTGTAGCAATTGCCAAAGCATCTACTACTTATAGGTCAAAAAACTAAATGTCAAAACTGTCATGTTGTTGGTGTTGTCCCAATTGAAAAACAAAGTTCTTGTTGAAAAACCCAGTATTATCATTTTAATATTCACTTAAATGATAAAAACATTATATATCAACCATTTCTTGATTGATTAATGATTGAATATTTTAATACCCGTCAAAAGGTTCTCTTATTATAATACATGTAATTTTTTATTTTAGGTGTACATAAATTATGCTTATATTTACTGCGTATTGGGCGTGAATGCAAGTTAGATTTAATCTAAAAATAGTTACTATTCTGTTTGATAAAAAGTGAAGGTTGATAACGACGAACTGGAGATGATAGTGGAAGCAAACCCGTCTCAAACTACGACTAAGCTCGACCTTGATGGTAAGAGCAAAACAATATTAGATCATTTGCGGCAAATCGATAAAATAAAGAAGCTTACACAGTAAAAGGTCGCGTCCAAGCTTGCACTAATTTGCTGAATCTGTATAGAAAGGAGGGAATTTCGAATCGAATTGTTGTATGCAATTAGAAGCGTACGACAGGCAAGCGTTTATCGCATTGTTTAGATCCAGATGGGCACCAAGCCAAACGATGGATGAAACGAAAGGTTACCCAGAAGAAGCTTATGGTGAGAGTTAGGTAGTCCTACTGTTGGTGTTATTCACTATAGCATTTTTTCATCTGGTGCCAGTTACTACTGGCTGTTATTGGTAAGAATAGCAAAAATGTTGGAGAAGCTGACACTCAAACCCATATGGGTGAGCTGCTCTTCACCGTTGCTTCTTCAGGACAACGCCCGGTCACATTTAACGAAACACATTTAATTAAAATTACTCTTCTGATAAATAAATATCCGCATCTGCCTAACGTCGCTTGCTGAAAGTACTCTGGAAATAAAATAAATATTTTGAATACAATAAGTATTTTGCGATTTTTCAAAACAATGCCGAACGTGGGCAGAGGATGTTCAGATTTGTATGTAGATATTACGCAAAGAGTTGTTTATAAAATATAAAAATAAAGTGTAGGTAAATTAAACAATTAAGTTAAAAAAATATAAACACAAGATGATGACAGTTAAGAAAATGAAATAGATAGAAGAAAAGACAGAAAGTATGATGGAAAATATTAGTTTTCCAGCTTTGAGTAAATTTTCTAAGGAAAAAGGGATTGAGCATGGCGTATGTAGAGATAAGGAATTCCACAAACGGACAGCTGTTAGAAGTATGGATTGATGAAGGAGGATGAATTCACTGGAGTACGAAGAGAAAGAGTGTTAGAGCAAGACTTCACTAATCGAAAGACCTAAGTCTAACTTAAAATTTGCGATCATGATCATTGTATGATATGAGCAAGTTTTCACGTGATAGCTTAAACTCTCCGTATTATGCGATCTCATAATAAGCGTGGGTCATGACTGTCAGGACGTTACAACTTGGACGTGGGTGACACCGCGGGACAAAAAGCTAGTTTTAAATATCCTATACTATTAAACGAGCAATTCTTGTATATATATATATATATATATATATATATATATATATATAAATATATATATATATATATATATATATATATATATATATATATATATATAAATATAATATATATAATCGGGATCTCGGAAACGGCTCCAACGATTTTCATAAAATTTAGTGTCCAGGGAGTTTCGGGGATAATAAATCGATCTAGCTAGGATTTATTTTTAGAAAATGTCTTTTTGTCCGTGTTTTAGGCAATGAAAAACTGCTACAATATCGTTAGAATAAGAAGGTAAATTTTGACAGATAGTTAATGATTATAAATAGCTTAATTGGTATAACGGGCGGTCACAGAATCGTAAAACCCCGGTTCGAGCCCAGACCGACCGACCGACTTTTTAATTTTTTTTTTCAAGTTCCTTCCTTTTTTGAAAAAATCTATTTTTTCGAGCCCTTTTTTTAGTAATTTTTAAAAACACGAAAATTTAAATTAAAATAATTGCACTCATGATTTTTTATTCAAATAACCAGTTCCGTTTTTTCTGTTATGTCGCTAAGATCAAAAAATATTATTTATATTTCATCAGTATGTAATTTGTATCTAAATATAATATCCAAAACACACGAATTAAAAAAAAATCGAGCGAAAAATACCGAGCAAAGCTCGGTCAACCGGGTACTTTAATATTTATGTACTAAAATTTTACTTATTTCCAAAAATCAAAGAAAATTTACAGGCAATAAGTTTGGAAGCAAGGATGACATTGACACTGGCTGTTTTAAATTTTTATGTTTCTGAAGTTAATAGATAAAGAAAAGTGGTCAGAGGTATTTTCTAAAAGTACGTATGTAAAAGTATATCGTACATACTCACGATCAATTCTAGTAACAAAGAATAAATATTGATTTTGAGTATCTAGTTTATACTAGCACGTCCCGTATAGAATTCTAGGGCTGATGGACCCCTAATTTTACATGTATACGGCTAACCGGCTTTTTTATATACTTATAAAAATTTGATTTACAAATCATTGAAATTTACAACATTTATTACGATAATTAAAAAACTAAAACTAAAAAGTTTAATTATCTTATTAATATATTAGTTTAAGAATAATTCACTCACTAAAAATTTGAAGACGGGAGAACTGGTAAAGACAGGGCATAGTAATCACACATTTCTTCACAATATGTTTTCGACACAAAATTTACCTCACGCCTTAAAATTTGAAAAACCATCTTTTATTGGATGTTTGGTGCAAATTCGATTTTTTTCTGTTCAATGCTGTTCATACTCCAAATATTTCATTCATAAACACTTTTTTCAATATGTGTAAGCTACTAATTCAGAATCGCAAATGTACAAATAACGTCAAACAGGAGTTACGCAGTAGCAGTTGTATGGATTCCCGGATTCTACTGACACGCATTTATACAACATGTAACATAATTAACGCACTTTGAGAAAGTAGTTTGTTCAGAATCGTTTACTGAATCGATTCCTATCATTTTTAATATAGGTAATTTTTTATCCCAAAAATAATTAAAACTATATAAATTACAGTCACACTAAATCTGTACAGTCAAAACAAACTGAAATGGACCGTAATAACTTAAGGCAATAAGACTTTTAGGAGTGCAGTTTTATTTGTAATATTACTCATTCTGTCATTCAATAAAAATAAAGAAAAATGAACTTTATTTCAAGCACATCAAAGTCTGCGTTCGTGGATTTGTACTGAGACCACAACATTCATCCGGAATTAGTATAACCAATTTGATAAATAATCGATGCATAAAAATGTTTAACTATAAATTCAGTGTATGTATTATGATTATAACATAATATACTAATTGGGGTGTCTGAGGATGTGCGTTAATTACGTTTCATATTGTATATAAATCTAATATGTGTATGGTTATTTCAATTATATTAATATTTTAATAGTAAACTATATTATATAGATTATTGAAGGAAATTACTGTTAAATGACATAATAATATCGTTATCATAACTAAATTAAAAAATAAAATATAAAGTAAGGTTGAAATATAAGATAACTAGGAGCATCATGCGTTACTCGTACTTTGCGAAAATCCATTATATTAAAGATTAATTTGAATAGAATGAAATTTAAATATTTAGTTGTAGTTAGGATACGATGTAATCTCATCTTTAGTTTATTGAATATAAAACTTATTTTTAAATACACTAGGTCACAAAAATTAAGGGATATAAATAAAATTCTAAATTTTTGGTTGATTTTAGGATGATTCGGCAAGCTATAACTCCGAGGAAAGTGAACGTACAGCAAAAGAAAGCAAATTGTAGCACCAAGTGTCTACTTTTCAAATCTGGCCACGATGTTTTTTTATCATGTTTGGTTCTGAAGTGATCCTAGGGATACTACTGAAACCAAAATTCCAAAGTTTTGACCGTCTTAAAAAAGATCTACGTCTACGGGCTTCAAAATTTTTTTTTCATTATTTCATTAGAAAGCTCTTTTAGGAAATTTAATACCCTTTAATTTGACGTAATCGAAAAGCGTTTACGATGTTCTGCCGCGGAATTATCGTCAATCAAAGCAAAAAGTTATTTTTAACTTTGATAATCAATAACTCTGGAAGTAATGATCGTACAGAAAATTGAAGGAGGGTTTTAGAAACTGCATGACATTCTGACATTGAATTAATGAGGTACAATGAACGGACAAAAAAAATTTCTATGCGATAACTTTGACTGAAGAAAAGATAAAAAACGCGCAAACGAACACGCCCGTGCACTCACGCAAACACACGCGCGCTCGCTCGCACGCAGACACGCACGCACGCACGCACGCACGCGCGCGCGTGCGCACACACACGCCACACACACACACACACACACACACACACGCACACACACACACACACACACACACCCAAGCGCGCGTGCGCACGCAAACACGCACACGAAACGTTGAGATCTGATGAGAACTTGATTTTTAAATACCGGCGTGAAAACAATAACTTCCCCATTTTATGAAGATCATTGATTTTTATAGGGGGAAGTTAAAACTAACATGTCGAAATAAGTTTCGGTTAAAGTTTCAGTTGAAAATCATTTCCTGTCGAGCGATAACTTGTAAAAGAGAGTTTTATCATATAGCTCTGTGAACGTCAGCTGCGGTCCGGTGGATGGATTAAGCAGCTGTAACCTCCCATGTATGTTGAAAAACCAATAATTTTAATCATTTCCTCCCAATTTAATATTTATCAAATTATTACTAACCCAACATATTGAGGAAGAAAAAAGTCAGCTAACAATAAGTGTGTGTGTGGATATGTCAGCTGGTCACACGAACATGAAATATAAATATATATATACATATACATATATATATTATATATATATATATATATATATATATATATATATATATATATATATACATATATATATATAAATATATATATATATATATATACATATGTTCAGTCATTTCTTCCCTATTGAAAATTTATCAGATGACTGTTTGTACGAAAAACATTTCGCTGGTATATCTCTTATTAGAAAAATTGTCAGCAGATGCTCTGAAAGAAAAAATTCAGAAAAACTTACAAACGTCTGAAAATGGTAATTTATAAATTTGGATACTCTTTATTTCATACAACTTAAAGGGATATCCGGGCTGCAAGAAATAATATATATATATATATGTTCAGTCATTTCTTCCCTATTGAAAATTTATCAGATGACTGTTTGTATGATATTGTGAATCAATAAACATTTCAGCTGGCTATATCTCTTATTAGGAAAATTATCAGCAGATGCTCTAAAAGAAAGAAGTCAGAAAAACTTACAAACAACAAGAGCAGAATGATTGGATTTCACAAATGAAGAATAGAAACAAAATAGTAATATATTTAGGACTAGACACTTAAAATTACTATTGATTATACTCATATTTGTACAGAAACACTTCTAAGCTACAGAAACTGGATGGCACTTGAAATTCTCAATGAAGAGATAGAAAGAGCAATCGATTCACAGAAAAGGGACATAGTCCCAAAAGTAGGCGGAATAACTAATAACATAGGTACTAAATAGCTTATTGCAACCGAAGATATGACCAATGGACTAACTTCATCCTGCTGCATAATAAAAACTTTATAATAAAAAGTATTGTCATATTCTGAAACTATTGTATAGTATAGAAGAATCAGAAAGAAAGAAACATCACATAGATAAAAAAAATATAAACTTAGGGCAGTTTAAGACTACAAGTGATGAGGTGTGTATTCAGCCAGTGGAAATCCTACGACTCAGCGTAATGCTGCAGGGTTTGCTAACCCACAGTGCTGATGATTCTGCCATAACCACAAATACCCGCACAATTTGCTTGTATTTTTGAAATACGTTTTATATCCACTTTTATAAAATAAAATATTTTAGTGCCTCATAAATATTGCTATATATACATTTACGCTCCGTGGCACATTGCTTTAACAATGAGTTGCAATGCTAAGGGCCGCGGGTTCGAATCCTGCACGAAACAAGTATTTGTATAGTCTACAAATAATGGCCTGGATGTTTGTCCTTGTGGAATTTATGTATGTAAACTGCGCCCACGATACAGGAGAAAATCGCAGTGTGAAGGTAATGTTTAAGAGATATACATACACATACATATGGTACATATTATGTGTATGTATATGTATAATAATTCTATATATAAAATATACATAATCATACAAAAAATAACCGAAATTATGTATAGGTTACCTAATAATAAGCCTTGTCAATACACAATTACAGCAAACATAATATAATACTTAATGACGCTGGAAGAAACATATTTGTTGGAGACTGAAGGTTAATTACCATCAGAAATTACCATCTTATTTCACTCATGTTAAGGCGGAGGAATGTCATTCCTGTATATGGTAGCTACTTATTAAAAGCTACCTCTGAAAAAGCAGTAAGTGGGATTGTACAAGATCTAATCATGTTTTGTCTTTTTCTTCATATAAGTTTATTAAAGTTATATTAGTTCAGAATTAAAGCCTCGACTTCAGAATGTAAAGTTATTTAATTCTTTCTATTTTACTCGGCTTTTACACTTTATGGAAAGTAATTTTTACTCTTTTAAGTGAAGGAATACCACCATTTCACTATATATGTGACATTATGCATAACATATATATATATTTATGTTATTTGCATTTGCCTTTGTAGTTTTATCACTGCCCTAAGATTGACTGGCAGAAAATGCTTTTAGCAATAAGTCCGCCTTTTGATCCTTTTTTTATAGGATAGGGTGACAAACGAGCACACAGTCCACCTGATCGTAAGTGGTTGCTGTGGCCCATAGACATCTACATCTATCCTCGATTACGAATCAAAATGCAGATGCGTTGTCACCCGTGAGGACTAAAATGGAATGCCTCATTTCCAGTAAAAAGGGTCTCCGGTTCTCTACACTCACCATACGAAAGCTATAATTACTATTGATGATACAAGCTGCTATTGATGCTGGTATTCTTGAAAGCGTGGTCTTCCGACTTCGGTCGAGCCGAACCATTCGTGTTACAACTATACTACTAATATAACTGCAGCATGGCTCTACCACGCATAAAGAATCAGAAAGATTAGAAAAAGATCCTGTACTTATGTGAGGTTCAGTAAAGTTTAAAACATAAAATAAAATAAATGTCAATAATGTCTGAATTGTTCCAAAAAATTTCATCTCATATTTTGTAACCCTTAGGGGTGGAATTTTGGTCCAAATTTATATGGGATAACCTCTGATGTATAAACTATTTAATAAAAAAGGAATCAATAAAATTGGGTCATAATTGATGAAGACATTGAGTAACATACACATGCAAAATATGTGCTAGAGCCTTGATGCTAGTATATTATGGTTGTAGCATGAAAGGGTCGACTTGACGGAATGTACGGTGGATGTAAAGAAACAGCTATCCTTTTTACCGAAAACAAGGTATTCCATTTTAGTCCTCAGGTGTAACAAACAATACACTGGTATTTTTATTCTAATCAAGGATAGATGTAGATGTATATGGGCTGCAGCATCGAAATACAATCATGAAGACTGTGAGCTTATTCTGTAAATAAAATACATACAGTTTAATTGAGAACCGCCTCCTTTTTTTGAAGTTGACTAAAAAGGAGATAA